CGTGCTGAAAAGACATATACATCATTAGAAAGCTGAGTATGCCAAATAATTATTTCATGTAACATAATATGTGGAAGAAAAGGGGCCGAAGGAGGAATTGGATAACAAGCCAGGTGCAAATCTCAGAAGGCCGTGAATGTACATACCCCACTCACTGACACCTCCTAAAATGAACAAGGTGAATCAGCACAAATTCGACTGCACTCTCATTTCCTAGTTCAACTAGCTTTCTTTCTCTCGGAATATTTGAAATAATTGCGCCATAGTGTTAGTAACACGTCACTGAGGACAGTTTTTTCCGGTGACGGTTGGGGTATTCGCCTTCTGGGGATTGGCTTATGTCAAGTCGTCAAGATTTTTTCAAGTAGGTTTTCTTGTAGCTGAAGTCTTGAACCGAAACCATAAACTCATTCATATAAAGGTTAAGTAAACCTGAAGAAAATTCCTGATGTAAATACAAACGCATTCCCACATCCAGGAACAGTTTCTTATTACGTTGACAAGAAATATCTGGAAACCTTTTCACCAGCTAGCGAACTCATCACGTCGTGGTCAGCCAACCTCGAATGGATGCCAATTTCGGGTTATCCTTGTTAATGTGGGTGTTGAAGACGGAATTTGTTTCTCACCCTCGAATTTTAAGCACAGAGTTCATCAGTTTGCTTTCTGAAAAATTTTTCTTTAGGGAAGCTCCATAATTACTCGGGACGATAAATTGAATGAAGATGAAAAAAGTAAAGCTATGATCTTTTTCGTGAAACCAATGTATACAAGTGACACTACATATAGATTTTTAATTTTAACCCATCAATCACTAAAAACTTGGGCGGTTAAAGTTGTCAGATTCAAAAAGTATTAAAATTAGTTAACAAATAGGGCTAGGCATTAGGCAGATCCACAAACAGGAAACAGTTAAACATAAACAACATAAACACAAACAAGCAGGACTCACAACCTCGCATCAACTGAACAAGATCAGTTTATAAGAACATATAAGCAAATATTTCAATTACATACGCCGCGCTTTTGTCTTTCGGTCTTTTGAGCTATTTGTTTTAGCTTTAAATTTATCTACTGAATGTTCTTTTACACGAATGTAGAGTGTCTACCCGTTTAGCCATTGTGTTCGTTTCAGGAGATATCACAAAAAAATCAAATAATCCGTGCCCGAACTCTTGCAATCACCGTCTCTACCATTAGGATACAATTCTCCATTGTGCATAGACGTCTATGCAGACAGTTGCGAACTATTGGTCTCTTAGAAGGCTCAGTGGTATTTCAACTGTTAGGAAATTCTCTCGACCGTTACATCTTAAGCAACATTGTACAGCTCCACTTATTTTATTGCTATTAAAGAAAAGAATAAACGCGACATTATTCTCGACAGAATTAGCGTATGGGACGTGGACTTTCCTCTACACCTTTCACAAGTAGCCACAGTTTCGCAGCCATTCGAAACGACTATTTCACTGGATATCACTATGCCGTATTCCATGATTTAAACTATTAGCGAATTGCTAAAATAATAGTCATATCTGGTTTTCATGATTTTTTCAGTGTTAAGCAAATTTTTATGCATTATTTGTCTTTAAATCTACATTATTATAGACGTTTGTGAACCATTCATTATATATTCTTTTTGGAGTGCCTGTAGCGCAGTAGTTAGAGGTGCTCTGCAATGCAAAAGCGCTGTTTCCTAGCTTGACACCTCTGCGCTTCAAGCAAACGCTCATTCCCTCAGAGGTGTGCGCATCAGCACCGGATCTGTTACGGAAAACAAAAACGCTGATTTAATATATCCCTGTAGACTGCTGAAAATCGCGGCATTGGCAAACTGTGTATTCAGTCACTACAACGATCCTAAATGAATTGTAATGCACGATGCCCACCTATAGGGTTGATCAACGTTTGACTCTCAATTCTATTTTTTTCTTAACTCTTTTATTTACTGCCTTTTTCTTCTTAATGGCAGGGTATGTTGTGAAATATAACTCGTATGAAGTGCTGAGATATTTGATATTTGATATCTGAGATATCTACTTTTTTCGATAATCTTCTTTTGCTTGCGATACTTCATTGAATTACTAACTTATTCTGTTCTGTGTTAGTCCTTCAAAAACGGCAACTACTTCGCCCTTGATCGACAGATCGACTTATCGCCGGATTTGCTGCCGTTATGCAAGAATTCGAGCTAAAAAACTTTGCCAATGGCCGGTTCCAGCGATTTCCTTCACTGAAGACCTGAAAACGCCCTAGAATGACGGTTTTAGTGTTCAAGAAAAAAGTGGAGTCCAACAGCATTCATTAAGATCGTAACACATGAAATCTTCAAACAGCCACCGAATCCACTAACCAATCCAAGCACGCCCGTAGATACATCTCGGTTGATGCACAAGAATTTTATCCGTCCAGGGAGAACCGACGTAGATATAACAAGATTCGAGTGTTCCTGGTGCAAGTTTTCGTCGAACTATTATCAATATTGGGAATCAATGATTTTATTGGAAAATACGCTGCTCTTCTACTTTCTGAATTCCGTGGTTGATTTTATTGACTGACTTGCGGTGTTTTCGTTTAGTTGATTTCCTCGTTGTTCTGAATGCCAGAATACTTTTTCAGTTAGCCAACCCAGAACTATGGTGATTAAGGATTAAGCTATCGGCATTGATCTATCTCTGAGAGATGCGCTATGCATTAGACATCATTAAGCACCGTTTGGAGGAAATTGAATGCATATCTGGCTTCTACAATCACTCACGTTGGCCTACCGATGCACTGAGCCAGTGTTGCTATCCTCTCAGATAAGTCTAACACCAATTTACAGACCTCGGAGGTATGGAAGGTTGGTTGGGCCATGGGCTCCGGGGTCGATTTTATGTCTGTGTTGCAGAGTGCCTCCGACCACTGCGCCACACGCGCCCATTATGCTGATATTCGCTCTAATTTTTCTTTCCAATGTAGTGATCAACTAAACTAGTTCGTTCATGGAGTTGAGGTAAAGTTAAAAAGGAAAGAAAAAATTAGCAAAGCCTTGGGAATCTTTCCAACTTCTGCTCATTATTTTTATGTAATGACCTCCCCAGTTTTCAGCCCATGTCCGCCCGCAGTAAAGGTCGCAGACAGCCTTCATTTCTCAGAAAGGGTTTAGTAATCTATCTATGTCAATTCAAGCAAGAAATCATAGTAATGTTTCTAGAATAGCGCTGGTAGACTTAGCTCAATCTCTATCTATATAGTACTACCCACGCTGACTCGTCATTCCTCACGCTATCCATGAGCGTCAGCAAATCGACGAAATCTTTTGGTTGTTTAAAAACATGCGTTAGAGCTGGCACAACCTATTTGTTCTATTCAATCTAGCGCAAAAGTGAATCTAGCGCAATGGATACCGTTCTTCTACGGTAAGCGATGGATAAAGTAATGAAATTCCAGAATATATTATAATCTACATCGCACAATTTTTATAAGACAAAACGACTTTTTCGTCTTATGTGTAAGCATGGCTCCGACCACCGGCCCAGTCCCACCAAGCCTGCCATTCTCCGGGGTCGGCAAATTGGTACGCCATCTTTCTGGAAGGATAGCAGCACTGATCGATACATCGGTAGGCCATTACGAGTCGTTGTATAGGCCGGATACGCATCCATTCACCTCTAACCATGCCTGATGAAGTCGAATTCATGGCTTATCTCTCAAGAACTGATCAACACCAAGAGCTCCAACCTTAAGACTATAATACAAGGCGACTGAATTCTGTTAAACGAGAAATATTTTATGTCATAGCCTCTAAGACTACATAGCACTAATATAGCGCCAAACGAGATTCAGGAGAGACTATACACTTCTTCTGAGACACAAGTGAATTCGGAGAACGGGATTTCGTTATGTTTTAAGTCAGTCCTGTATTTCCTCGCACGCATAGACATGCCCATTGGAGGGCCTGCCGATGTGGTCGGAAATGAGAATTCCGATTATTGGGAAATGCATGAGCATCGACAATTTGCGTAGCCTCAGGTTAGAGACACTACGTCTACTATCAGAGCTTATGTCACTCATTGGCAAAAAGACTTTAGAAAATACAGGTGTTAAATCTAATACAGCTGACGTCTAACACTCAGCGCCCAAGGGGTTTTTCCGGAAATGTGACAATTTCGCGATTGCTTAAGTATCTAAGCTTGGAACTTCGCAGTTGTATTGAAGAAACTTTGCTTTATCTTAATAATAACACGTGGCTTCCTATGCAATACTCTTTAAATTTTAAATATGTCTGGGTCTAAAACTTCAAGACAATCAAGAGAGCTATAATTATAATACAATATAATTATTAAAATTTTCCAAGGGATGCGTAAAGTAATAGGCATGAACGGAGTATTAGGGAACACCTTCATGGTCTACTGTACGAAATCCCGTTTCCAATAACTTTCGCTTGCGAAACACAAGCCTTGGGGGAAAATGTTGACGATAAAATATATATGATCGGCTTCGGAAGCTTAGAATTTTATCAAGTTAGAATGGGATAGCTTGCTCTTGGTATGCAAAGATCTGTAGATTCTAATATTTTCTAAACTTCATTATGAGCTGAGATATGCTAGCCTAAAATTGAAAGCGGCCTTTGCCTCCAGTGCATGCGTGATGTCACGTGTTACTATAGCGCGGTAAGGATATGTGATTGCAATATTTCATGCAATGATACGTAAATCTAATCGTGAAAACCGACAGGACCCATTGCTCTCAAATCCATTACCTAATGATGGATCCGCCGCCAAAGGGTTTCTAAAGCACTGACGTGATTATCGCGTAGTCTCCGTTAAGCTTTCTAGAGCTGGGTCTATGCCTGAATCAGCTTGATCAAGTTTCGTTTCATTGCAAATTTCATAAATTGTTAGAAATCCATTCTCATGCTCTCGTGTTTGAGATATCTGAACAAATAGAAAAGAGTTGTAGTAAGAAAGTTCCTGCGAGAAATGTGTCGTGTCATTTCCACTCAGTTGCTCACCTTTTTAAAGGAATTGCTTGAGAATCGGTGCTGTTTGACATAAACGAGCTCTTGTTATCTCTTCGTCATCATCGTCATCGTCGTCTTCCTCCGCGGCTGTTTGAGGACCTGTCATTGGCACACCATCATTAGCGCAATCCATCTGCAGTCAAGGAGACAATACCATCCGGCGTCATTTGCCCGTGGATATTGGCCCACCTTATGAGAAAATCTGCACGAATATTTTTCATTTCAAGCCGCATTCCATTCATAAATCAGCGAATTTATGGAGGATGTGCTTAGTCACGCGATGCTTTGGTCTAAATGTAGTTTGGACTTCATTCAAATAACGTGCAAACTAGATAATCTCAATCTAAATCACGCTCCGTTCGCTGAGCAGTCCAGTATAAAAGCAACTTTTTACTTCAGAGTTTCGTTTATAATGAGCGGGAGTCACTCCTGTACTTGACCGATGATGATGAGAAGCTGACTTTCGCACAGCTCCATCATATTTCCTATCAGTCTCCGCTCTGTTCATCATCCGTCATGTGAAAGCCATCTTCGAATTTTTCCACTGATCACACTTTCTCCAGTTTCCTAGCTTTCTGCTCCTCACTCATCCTAATTTCTGCACGTAGTGAGTGATGGCCTTTATCGTGAGAACGCATTGATTTCTTAGCCGGTTCTTCCCGATTCGGAAACCTCCTAGCTTTAGCAGCACCGTCCAACTTCATTATATTCTGAACGTCATTTTCGAATTTTTTATCCGACGTTAGTTCCGCTGTGCCTCAGACTCTGCTCTTCATTAATCACGTTTTCTTCTCTCCCACAAATTTTTTGTTCAATTTCTTCTTGTATTCCGACTTCGCTCTAAGTTCCTCGTTACTCATCTCAACACTTTGTTCTCGGTGCTCAATAGAAAAGATCTCTTGGTGCATTAGACACTGTGGAGAGCTTTCTAGTTGCACCACTGAGTGATTTGTCACTGGACCTCTGTTTGCACTGTTTTAAGCCTTAAAGAAAGCTAAGAATGAAATATTATTCTTCTTCTCTGGACCGCAGGTGTCTATGGTGGGGAACGAACGCGCTATTATCCTTTCCGGGGAGTAACGCGTTCACCACCACACC